GCACACATGGACACACACACAAACACACACACACACACACACACACACACATACACACACACACACACACACACACACAAATCAGTCCTAGATTTAGCAGACGGACAGTCGGAGGCTGTTGAGGGTGAACCGAGGCTCCCTGTCCATCTGCCACTCTTTGAACTCTTCTCGCTGAGGAATCCAAAAGCAGCACAAGCATAACTAAGGGGGTCGTTCACATAAACACACACACACTTTTTACTCTTAATTAACACCAAAGGTTTCTATTTGCTTACAACTTTACTGTAGTAACCAAATTAGCATTGGCATGGCTGTATATTGGCTGTGCTTCAGCATTACCAATATTGCATGGAGGTTTTGGAGTTTATGTACTGAAGCTAACCCGCTGGCTGTGTACATGTGTATGTTATCTACTGAACTGGACCAGTGGTGAAGGAAATATGCACTCTATTGACTTCATTGAAATAACAATACCACACAGTAAAAATACTCCATTCAAAGTAAAAGTTGTTGAAATGTCACTTCAGTGGAAGTGTCGATGTATTAGCAACAAAAAAGTGTCTACTGTTAAATGTATTAATGTTATATAATTGGAATCATTGTAATTGTTGTATTAATATGTGAGCAGTACTTCAATGTCGTTGTTGGTCAAGGTGGAGCTACTTTTAACTACTTAATGCTTTTTCTAGATTTATCTGTAATAGATCATACTTAATTAGCAGAGCATATGTTCAATATTGAAAAGCTTCAAAATTGTTAATATGTTCTATAAACGTATATGTCACTGAAACGTAGTGCAGTTGTCTAATTATCTCTCTTTTCTTTCAGGTGCTGGACCTCCGGCCGATCGGACAGTGGTGATCGAAGAGTACCGCTACTTGTCTCAGAAGCTGTTTGCAGCTTTGTCCGTTTTCGCTGGCCTCGGCATCCTGTTCGGCATCGTCTGTCTGACCTTCAACATCTACAACGGAAACGTCCGGTGAGTTGACTAACAGGACATATTATTGTTTAAATCTCAGCCCCAACGGTCAGCTGAAGTTCTCTCATTCATTGGGGCTATAAGTGTGTCAGCTAGTGAATAGTCAATCGACAGAAAACAAACATTTTGAGAATCAATGAATCGTCGATTTTTAAGCAAAACTCCCAAACAGTGATTTTATCTTTTCAAATGTGATAATTTGTTGCTTTTCTTCGTCTTACAATAAAGTATATTTAATATATTTGCCTTTTAAACTGTTGGCTGAATAAATAAGACATTTTTAAAGCAATGGGCTTTAAGAATTTGTCAGGAGTATCTTACAGTAAACTGACTTCTGATATTTTGTTGACCAAACATTTAACCAATTCCTCGAGAAAATGATCAGCAGATGAAATTGAAAACATCTTTGAAAAAAAAAGGTGTTGTCCTATTCATCGTTATATTATAATATATCTTTCATGTTTACTGCTTTGAGGAATTGTGAAAGTAAATGTGTCCTTCAGAGAACGAGGTCATCAATAAAGGGATTTTTGGAGAAAATGAAAATTGATAGATAAACTAAGTTGGGCCTTGGAGGTTAAATGTATTTCATTGTTACATCAAGGTCAGCTGTTTGTGCAGCAGTGAATGGGAAGAACATCCTGTATCAATACCCATCTGCTCCATCAGAGCAGGTCACTGTGGAGGCTCCGTGTGTGAATGGGAGTTTTTGTAGGCTGTAAAAAAAAAAAAAATCACCTGTTCAACAGAGAACCTCACCTCTGTTGGGGTTAATGTAAATGCTGAAAGGCATCGCTGACTCTCGAGTTCAGTGAATCCAAAGTTATCTGGGTGTGGCGTTTTCCATCTGGTATCGTTGTCATAGCTTAAGCTTAGCCTTAGACCAAATGCAAATAGACCTCCTTTAAAAACTGCCTTTTCATCTCGGATTTCTAAGCTTATTATATTTCTGTGAACCCGCCGCAGCATATCTCTGATTTCTTTTTAACAAAGTATTTTTGTGTTTGACTGAGGTCAAAGGGATTTAAAGTCCCACAAGTCCACGAGCTTATCAGGAGTTTTTCCTAAAGCTGGAAAAGGTTTGTTTCGTTTGGGATCTCAGACTGGCTTTGGTGTGCCAGTCAGGCCTTCCTCTGGCTTTGATTATATTTCAGAAACAGTTTCACGAGGGCTGATTTTAGCAGCCAAAACAGTATGAGTCAGATCAAATCAAATGTATTCTGTAAGCTGTTTTCACAAAAAGACTTTGCCGCCAACTGCCTTGTGAGAGACAAAAAAACATAACAATTTTGGGAACAAAGAAAAGTGAAAAACAATAGATGTTGTTTTTAATCATAGCCCTGTATCAAATGGCAATGCTCAATAATTGTCCTCTGAATATGCAGCTCCCTTTGGTTTTTGGAGAGCTTTATTAAGAATTTCAACCTCAAAATGTGCAAAATAAATGAGAAACATCCCAAAATACTGTGAAGAAATATCCATGTGTCTTGTTTCCATGTAAGGGCTCATGGAAAACAGTTTTTGCTAAATAAATCATATTTTTGGATTTCAATACAAACATGTGTGGTTAAGCAAAGGTTTGACAAAAACACTATTAATATTAACCATTTGATAAATATGCCAATTGATATGATCTTCTAATGTGTCCAGGGAAGCTACAGTTCAGTTTGATCCCAGAAAATCTCACAGTGATCTAAAACATCATCATCATCATCATCATCATCATCATCATCATCATCATCATCATCATCATCATCATCATCATCATCATCATCATGACCCAATGTTGGTCCTTGAAGATCAAACACAAAACATATTCAATTCCCAGAGACATGAACATGTAAGAGGAAAATATTCTTCTAGCTCGGATTCAAAGCAACCACTAGACATGGTGCAAACAAGCGGAAGAAAGCAGCACTCCACATGAGAAAATATCTCCTGCAGTGCACTGAACATCACATATGCATGGTGTGTAACAGCATTAAAGGTTTCTCTGAGGTATCAAAAGGTTGGATTGGGGCCAGTGTGTGTGTGTGTGTGTGTGTGTGTGTGTGTGTGTGTGTGTGTGTGTGTGTGTGTGTGTGTGTGTGTGTGTGTGTGTTTGTGTATGTTAATGTGTGTTTGTATGCAGGATGTACATAGTGTTGCTGTGCAGTAAATAAGCAGTGTGGCCTTGGGCAACACAATGGCAGGTCAGCAGGATGAAACAACCAAAGGACACACCTTCTGCTGCAGGAAGAGCTGGAGCTGAGGGCCAGAGGAAAACTGCTTCACTTGGTGTTATCATAAAGTGCAGAAAATATCAAAACACCCAAATCTGGAGTCTTTGAGAGTATTATAATAGTGAGGTTTTCTCTATAGCAGCATGTATAAAACACTGGGTAGAAGTCCCCAGTGGAGGAACGTAACTAAGTACATTTCCTTAAATACTGTGCTTCACTTTTTCCATTGTGTTCTTGATAAAATGTTCCAAATATGTTTGCCCATGCACGAAAACCTCTGTGGAAAATATTGTACTGTTTACTTAATTGGTCTGTCGGCTTAATTCACACTTCAGATATACATTTGGTATAACCTTTCTGTCCAGTAACCCAGTATAAGTCCAGTTTTTTTTATTTGGGTATTTCTGAGAAACTGAAAGATTAAGTGTACATTTAATAACTTTGACAAAACATGATCACACGTCCATTAAACTGATTTTTTTTTTAATAATAGTGATAATTCAACTTTATCAACAGACATTTGTAAAGTTACATTTTCTCCTAGTTTTCCAATATCTTTTTGGATCAGTTTATCTAACAAACATTTATTTCATTATTATTCACCCAGCTTTAAGCAGATCATGCACTTTCTTTCTGCATTGCATTGTGGGAATAACCATTACTAATTAACCAAACACTGTCTCATTTGAGTATGCTTGAGTTTATTAACTTAAACGGTTTAGTTTGATTTTCGGTTTCACAAATGTCCTTTTTTTCTACATTTTTGTTATAAAACATTTGTAACAATTACACTTATGAGACAAATGACTATCAATCCCTCATCCAAGGAAATGCATTTTGCTGTCTGAATCAGAAAATATAGATGATAAAATATGAATTTAAAAGAAACAATGAACAGCAATTGATGACATTTCTACGAGCAGACAGCCAGGTCACCTACACAATTAACCTCTGTTTACCTTCAAATTGACCATTCGTGCCACTAAGCAGAAATTGTAATTACCAGTGTGTTTGTTTCCCTGTCCTCATGTGTGAATCTGTCACTGTTCCAGGTACATCCAGAACTCTCAGCCGTACCTGAACAACATGACAGCGGTGGGCTGCATGATGGCTCTGGCTGCTGTGTTCCCGCTGGGGATTGATGGTCACCACGTCCACAGATCTCAGTTCCCCGTCGTCTGCCAGGTAACAGGAGAGACAGAGAGACAGACAGAGGGAGGTAACAGCTAGAGGGCAGGATGAGGAGGAGGGCTGCATATTGTCTGCAAATAATTGGTTTCATTGACTTGATGTTTGTACCCAACAACTCATTTTGATTACAGGACGTGTTGAAAATGAGCTCAGAGGAGGAAGCAATTAAACTCAGATTGTTATGGTTTTTTAATCCATTTGTTCATCTTTACCTTTGAAATAGTAGTGACAAATATAATTCCTGTTGCCTTGGTAATGAAAACCCAACCCAGTCCAACTGAGATTAGATAGATATTATTAGATATACTTTATTGAGCTTTTACTCAAGCCTAAATATGTTGTTACAGAATCAGTTTGTTTAACATTAAAATACAAATACATTAAAAGTGGAATAGAGAATTAACAATTCAAAATGAAATGAAAATGAAAATAGTATATCAAATTTAAACAATATAAAATATTCTGGATAATAAAACAATTCTTAAAAAAATCCAAAATCCAACAGGAGCATAGACATACTGTATATACATAAATTACATTAACATTTAAAAAATAAATGATACATATCAGTTGGGAAAGAGTTTAACAAACAATGCTTTCCCCTTCCCCATTACCCAACTGAGATAGACTTGCATTCAATTTCAGGACTTCAATATAAAGTATTCATCTTATTCGAGCTGTTATCATTTAAAGTTTGGGAATTTCCTCTCATTTCACAGTTTTTGACCGTATCACATTGTGTTAAAATTGAGTTTAATTGTGTTCCAGCTTTTAAACAAAGCTTTTTGAACTCCACGCTGAGTGAATTGCAAAGAAATCAATGTTTTTATGGCGGCACTTTTCCATCAGAGTGGAAAATTCTACATCTACTGTGCATCATGTTTCCCAACAATTCTCACTCATTTGATATCTGTGAGCCTTTTGGCATGACAACTAATCTTAAAATACCATCACAATGTCTGGATGCACAGCAGGAAGTTGTACAGGCTGGTCCACCCGCATCAACACGTAGCATCTCAAAGTTTAAAATGTCGACAGTCTTTAAGAGTGTACCATTTAGCTTTAATTAATATTGTATCGGCAGTATTGCTGGACTTTCTTTGGGCGACAAACATTCTTTACAGTTATATCTGTCAGTTTTAGTACGGCCATTATGCAAACCCACGTTTAGGATTTTCTGACAGGCTCGTTGTTGCTGCCTGTGGAAAGCAGACACCTGCAAATCTTATTTCAGGAGTTTGATCACGCAAACGCTAATACACTGAACAAAAATATAAACGCAACACTTTTGATTTTGCTCCCATTTTTCATGAGATGAACTCAAAGATCTAAAACATTTTCTATATACACAAAATAACCATTTCTCTCAAATATTGTTCACAAATCTGAAAAAATCTGTGATAGTGAGCACTTTTCCTTTGCTGAGATAATCCATCCCACCTCACAGGTGTGGCATATCAAGATGCTGATTAGACAGCATGATTATTGCACAGGTGTGCCTTAGGCTGGCCACAATAAAAGGCCACTCTGAAATGTGCATTTTTCTTTATTGGGGCGTGCAGTTTTGCTTTATTGGGGGGGTCTGGGGGGGTCCGAAAACCAGTCAGTATCTGGTGTGAGGGTTAGGGTTAGGGTAATGTTGTGAATCGAGTGGCCCGTGGTGGTGGTGGGGTTATGGTATGGGCAGGCGTATGTTATGGACGATGAACACAGGCCACTCGATTCACAACATTACCCTAACCCTAACCCTAATCCTACTCACACCAGATACTGACTGGTTTTCGGACCCCCCCAGACCCCCCCAATAAAACAAAACTGCACGTTTCAGAGTGGCCTTTTATTGTGGCCAGCCTAAGGCACACCTGTGCAATAATCATGCTGTCTAATCAGCATCTTGATATGCCACACCTGTGAGGTGGGATGGATTATCTCGGCAAAGGAGAAGTGCTCACTATCACAGATTTGTTCAGATTTGTGAACAATATTTGAGAGTAATGGTTATTTTGTGTATGTAGAAAATGTTTTAGATCTTTGAGTTCATCTCATGAAAAATGGGAGCAAAAACAAAAGTGTTGCGTTTATATTTTTGTTCAGTGTATAATTCATTAGGTATTTGAATGTATTTTGGTATTCAGTGGCACAGACATGATATGCTGGCTGGCAGAGTAGCGCAGGCGGAGGGATCCCAGCATTAATGAGGAGTGGGAGTGCTTCCTCTGTTGCCCGGGTTGAGTCTTTTTGTTGTGGGAGAGAGAGGGAGATTTCCATTTCTGTCGTTTCCCTACTCTTTGTCCCTGTCCAGTTATTCTCTCTCAGGCTTTGTTCTTCCTCTCTCTTGCACTCCGCCTCTGACCCTCTACCTACTCTGGAAAGCTTTTCTTTATCTGCTGCAATCTCTCCCTTTCCTCAAATAAATATTGTCTCTTTTTCGTGCATCACCTTCTCTATTTATCTTTCTCTCCCTGCAGACACTACTCAGGGATACATCTACTGAAAAAACTTGCAAACCCTTAACATGTTTTTAGGATTAAAAAATGCATGAGATCTATATTTTTATATGTACAATAAATATTTGTCTTTAGGAGAATGCTTGAACGCTTTGCAGCAAAAATGCAAATACAACATTATCATTTCTATGAATGAAACTCAAAACGATTCAGAGAAGGAATGAGACATTATTATTTGACTAGTTCTATGAAGAATAACCAATATTATCATGAATTCTTTATATTATATTTGTAGTTGTAGAAAAAGAAGATTGTTTGTTCTTCCCTTAGTTGTGCTCCTATTTCTGAAACCTACAGCCTTGAATAAAGTTATTTTTTAATTCAAATTCTCTCTCCTCCTCTCCCCTCCTCCAGTTCCGCCTGTGGCTCCTTGGCCTCGGATTCAGCCTGGCGTACGGCAGCATGTTCACCAAGATCTGGTGGGTCCACACCCTCTTCACGAAGAAGGACGAAAAGAAGGAGAAGAAGAAGGTAGGGAGGAAGTGTAGGAGAGAGAGAGAGAGGGAGGGATAAGCCTCTCTGCGGTCTCTGGAGAGCAGAGAGAGGATGGCAGAGAGAGGAAGGCAGAGAGAGGATGGGAGAGAGGGAGGCCGGGCCGCGCAGCATGTGTGGTGCCAGCTGATAAAAAGTCAAGTTTAAAACTTTGCAGGCTTCCTAGTAACATAAGCTTCTAAGAGGCCAGCTCGCCATCATTCACTTCTGCAGGGTTGTAGAGAGCGTGCAGGGATAAGGGTGTTGGAAACACACTGACATAGATACTGCACTTCAAATATGCACATGCATCTCTACACACATGCAACATTTATGCATAAAAAAACATGCAGATTAGGGGCACATAAAACCAATCCTCTGCTACCCACGTCATCAGATGTATTGACTTGCTGGTGTGTATGTGTGTGTGTGGGAGTGTGTGTGCCTCCTCTTGAAGATAGTGTGTCCTGGAGTCAGCCAGATACTGCCAGTCTGTGATGTGTTGTGGGAATGTTCTAAGGCCTAATCGGTAGAATAAGAGATTAAGCCATTTATGGAATATTTATGAATATGGATGAGTGTTAAAGTTCTTTTCAGAATTCCAACCTTGGGGGGGGTTTATTATTTGAGCCAAAGCACAACGAATCGGGTTGACTTTCAACTCTCTTCATGTCCACAGAAGGGCAATTTGCTAGAGAGCTCTGCGTGATATTTAAAGGAATTTTCACAAATCGAAGGGAGAATGAGCGCTTAACCAATCATTTTCCATGCAACTCAAGTGAAGAGGCCTAGGACTGTGTAATGTGTTTTCTGCTTTATTTTATTTTCAGTTTTAGTTATTGCACGCTTGAATAGCTGTTACTACCTCGGAGTAGCTGGGGGTAAGCCAGCGTGGTGGAATGAAAAAAAAAGATGTGTTGAAAGAAAGAGGAGGGAATAGCAGTAGCCGAGCTCATTTTTGGTTTCTTGTTCTTGGTTACGCCTGTATTGCTTCCATTATAGCTTAAGCTAAGAATAATGGAGTTGATATCAGCCGCTTCGGAAACGATCCAGGCAAAAGCACTGTGTGTATAAATGACGATTTCAGGTGGCAGCACAAACACAGCTACTGCAGCTCTCACACACACACACACACACACACACACACACACACACACACACACACACACACACACACAAACTGCTCCTAAATTATACTTAGACACACAAACACACACACTTTAACGCACACATTCAGAAAGACAATTCGCGCCCAGTCATCCAGAAATCACAAGGACGCCTGTCGTATTATTCGTCCTGGTTGTTTGTCTTTGTTTGTGGAATGGCTTGTGATGCCCTTGGAAACTGATAACTGTAGTGCATCTATGTGTGTGTGTGTGTGTGTGTGTGTGTGTGTGTGTGTGTGTGTGTTCATGTGTGTGTTTTCTTTGCTCATAGCAACACTTGGAGCCATGGAAACTCTACGCAACAGTTGGAGTGCTGCTGGCTATCGACTTCTTGTCACTCATGATCTGGCAGATTGTGGATCCCCTGCACATTACGGTGGAGGTAGAGTACGAATGACAGATGAGATCATTTGTGTGTCACCGGCCGTTTGCTCAGACCGGGCAGCCGTTGTCATGAGTCAATAGCGCAGTAATGAGACACCGCGCATCGTTTGTAGAAATGTTCTTTCATTTTGGTTCATCTTACACTCAAAGAGCACAATCCAAAACAAGGATAGAAATCACAAAGCAGAGCCAGACAGAAGCACTAAAACAGTGACATTTATGACCCGAATAATCCAATTGATTTGTGTTCAATAGTGTAAGCACTGCTAAAGATACCCTGTGGTACAAACTGTAAACCAAAATCCACTGGGCGAACACGCATATTAAATTCATTCAAATGAAAAATCCTGGCTTATTAAACATTTATCTTTTAAAGGTCTTATGAGATTGTTTAGCTTCATTAAAGCTGCTCTTAATATTAATATTTTTGATTAACACTGAATCAAGGGACGCACATTTTCAGCATTCAAAGTGCAGAAAACACTTATCACCCAGCCCATCTTATTGTGGTGGTTTTACAGCATATCACCTGCTGTTAGCAACCTTCATGCTTTAAGATGTCAAACTCCTAATGAAAATACGTGGCTATTCAGCTGACTTAATGCTCCATACATTTCACCAGCTTGGGTCCAAATTGTATTTCTCCTGTTTGGTGCTTAGCAGGTAGTGCACAATGGATATTTATATCATTTTTCACTGAACACAGCTGACAGCAGCAGCAGCAGCCGAAAGGGACACTGTGAGAGCGCTGAGAGTAAACCTAAAGGGTAAAGTCGCTGTCCTGGAAAACAAAACAATACGCTGGAAAATGCTGAAACACAATTTAGTGCTGAGCCTGCAGGAACAAGCAGTAATCCTCTGTGTATTCAACAATAGAAGTGACACTCTACATGTATAAGTAGACACATTGTCTTTAAACTTTAAAACACTCGTATACAGCCGCTTTGATGATCTAAAAATCATGTTTACGTCATTTAGCAGCCCTCTTACATTTAACTACATTTTACAATATGTTACCACCATCAACTGTTAATGCACTTCTACAGTACACATGAGTGATTTATCATCAAGCAAAGCTCCACACTGCCACTAGATAACAACTCCACAGACACCTTTCATATGTACAAACATTTACAACAAAGGTGAAACCTCATGATTGCGTTGTGTGACTCTTTGATGGAGTATCCTGATTTCCCTGATAAGCCCCAATATTAGAAACCTCAAAGCTAGTTGGATCCTTTGTGTTCAGATGAACTCTGTTCGTCACTTTGTCATAGATATTTGGCTTTCCTTTCTATTCCCAGTGATCAGATGGACAAGCTTCTTTAAGCACAGCCAGAAACCTATCTGACACTATCAGTACATTGATAAGTGGCTGACATGTTCTAAGATTACGACACAGAAACCATGATACTGTTTCAACTTTAAACAACATATCCAGGATGTCATTAAAACCTCCATGAGACACAACATGGAGACACTAATGTGCATGTAGTGCGCACTCATTAAGTGCAGTCGACCTCTGGAGGAACAAGAGGAGACTCTATTCATCATCATTAGCCCTTATCTGCACAGTGCTGTCAAATTGTGAATTTAAATAGCCATATTTCATATTTATTGGATATCTTATACTCAGTTTTTTCAGTCATTTATTTCTGACATATGGTAAAGACCTATTTGCTCCAGGGGGATCAACCGTGCAGTCACTGGTGCTCGAGCTTACTGTGCACTTTTGCCTTCATCTCCAGAGAGCTGCTGTGTCATCGTTTCTTAATATCTCTCTCTTTATCCCTCTTCTCCTCGTCCTCTGTCTGCCGTGCGAGTAGAAGTTCACAAGGGAGGCCCCTAAAGAAGATTTGGATGTCCTGATTCAGCCCCTGCTGGAGCACTGCAGCTCAGAGAAGATGAACACGTGGCTCGGTATGCGTTGTCTCTCTTTCTTTTTTACTCTCTCATATCACAATCTGTGTCTTTATCACTCTTTGCCCTGCTCTGGTTTTGAATAAGCCTTGTCACACTCATGGCCATATGCAGGCACATATGCACACATATGCACACACATATGCACACACACACACACACACACACACACACACACACACACACACACACACACACACACACACACACACACACACACACACACGTCACTACCATTCACTCTGAATTAAACAGGCCTCAAATCACAGCCTCCTCGCTCGGCCCCCACCACCCCTCTTCAGTTTGATTCCTCTTTTTTCTCTCTTTGCTTCTCTTTTTGTCGGCCCACGCAGTCCCTCTTTCTCCCTGTCTGTCTCTCTGCTGACTTCCTTAACGTGGCAGCTCTTATGAAAATATAATGGTGCTGGAATTCAAATAATGTGGGTCACAAACTGGGCCATTGCCCCATAGCATTTCCCTTCTCAGAGAAGAAAAGATGGTGCTTTAATATCAGGCGGTGTAAGGAGACAATGGACAGTGAGGAGAAGTGTCCAACTTACTCCGTCACGCGTCCTCTTTTTATTCCCCTCGTCTCTCTCTTTCCCTTTCCCCTGTCAGTCTAACTAGCTTTCAGGATAATCGACCTTTTTGCAATTTAGTTTCTATTGAACGTACATTTTTGGTTTCCTCTCCCTGCACCACTCGGTCATAGTCCGTCGATGGCCACCCTGATCTGTTCACAATGTAACCTTCACTAGAAGCCAAGGGGGTTCATGTCATCTCGCAGGTTTTCTATTCTTTTCATGTCCTAAAATATCATTAATACTGCATCTCCTCATCCTGCAATGTGCATAACATGTTCCTTGCTTTAAAGATGTATGTCATATATATATACAGCAATGTTTCCCATACATTGATTTATTTGTGGCGGGCTGCCACAATTAAATGTCGTCCGCCACAAATGGATCTCATAAAAAAAAATATATATTATTATTAATTGTTTTGTTTTTTTTGTTTTTTTTTGGTAGTTTAATGGATAGTGTGGTGGGCTGATAATGGGAAGGTTGCTAGTTCAAATCCTGCCTGGAACACCACTACTAGTGTGCCCTTGAGTAAGGCACTTAGCCCTCAGTTACTCCAGGGAGAATGTCCCTGTAATTGGTCATTGTAAGTCGCTTTGGAATAAGGTGTCTGCTAAATGCCTGAATTGTAAATTATAAATGATATTTTTGGGGAGAAATCAACCCCCACAGATACTCAACTCTGGTGTGTCTCCACTCATTAACAACGCAACACAGAGCAACAAGATCGTTGTCTGCAGTAGCCATGAACTCACATGTATTATCTTATTTGAGGGGGGGGGTGTATGCGTGGACCACTCGAATAGGTTAAGGGGCCTTTGGCTTTTCTTGCCGGGGGGGTGCTTTGCGGTGCCCCCACAAATAGAATGAAATTCTGTGGGAAACACTGAATGTACTTAGTTACTTTCCACCACTGGACATTTCATTAATTAATCTATATTACAGTACATCCAATACTTTTTAGATTAAGGTTTTTAAATAATAAAAAATAGGAACTGAGCATTCAGAATACTCAAAACAGAGTTTTTGGACAGTGACCCGTTACAAAAAGCTACAGTAGTGCTAAAATGAATACAAATGTTTACAGCAAAAATATATTTCCTTTTTTTGTATTACCAAGATATCCTAGGTCAGGGGTCGGCAACCTTTTTGATATGAAGTGCCATTAAAAACAAATGTTTTGATCAGTTTGCCGACGATCGTGAATTGTACTCAGCACTGCACCACGGAGGAAAGCAGCAGAAAGTCGCCTTGTCGTCACTCTTGTTGAGACCGTGTCGCTGTTGGTCCTGTCCTGTTGTCTGCGGAGGCTGAAGTATTATTTGAATTATTTGAAGTATTAAAGTAACTTGTTATGGCAGGAAAGTTCAATCTGGTATATTCATTTTAATGTCACCTTATATATATATTCAGGTGTGTTAAATTTGAAGGGACAAAGTATATTTTTCCTCCCCAATATATTGAGGTGAAGTCTTTGTGTTTAGAGAGGGATGTGAGCAGGGGACATCCTTATTTGGGGATAGCTCCAAAACTCTGGAATGTCCATCCATCCATCCATCCATCTTCTCCCGCTTATCCGTGGTCAGGTCGCGGAGGTAGCAGTTCCAGCAGAGAGCCCCAAACTTTCTTTTCCCTGGCCACATCAACCAGCTCTGACTGGGGGATCCCAAGGCGCTCCCAGGCCAGCGAAGAGATATAATCCCTCCATCTGGTCCTAGGTCTACCCCTTGGTCTCTTCCCAGCTGGACGT